AACTCTCTCATAAGCCCAGGGAAGTTTATTCCGGGACTCTGACCGAGGGTCTAGTCGGCCCTGTGGTTGGACCCACCCTATCAGACCCTCTGGGGCCACCACTGAACGACTATAATGGGTAAGAATTTAACTAAGGTTTTTTTTTATTCCTGTATGTATAATATTGTATTGGGATTATATTGTACTTTGATAACAATAAAATTATTTTTACATTAAAAACATAGTTTTTACCACCTTAATGGACGCCATCTTGGAATTTATCATGATGACGTCATCATTCCGATCAAATTTTTAAATGAGAGTGATGAGTAACTATTTAGCCAAGTTGTTGTTACATTTCATATCCACAGTATATGTACCCCCATCTTAAATACCGGTAGTTTAAAATAGGGTATTTTAGGTCAAAATTTCAAAGTGCTGTAAAAAAATTTTCCCAAGCCCTAGGCATGGGGATTTTTTTTTTTCTGAGACACTATAGGGTATGCTGATTCAGAAAAACCAAAAATTAATTTTCCTTTACTTTTTTCTCGCTAAAGTTCATTTCAGCAATTTTACAACCAGACTAAGAAAGCCACTTTGATATTTAGAGAAAATAACGTAGGGACACGGGTTCAACGGTTGAACGTCCTATTCAGTGGTGGATGCATATTTATACAGTTAGGCTTATTATTAGGATTGGGTTTGAGATTGAATCAGATTGTATCCGATATTGCTAACTTACAGCTGAAAAACCACTAATTATGTCTAACTGTAGGAATTCACACCGCAATTGTCAGTGGTGGCGCCAGTGATGAAGGCTGGGGGACCAGATCCGCTCCGTGGGGAGAGCTTCGCCTCCTGTCGTGGAGGAAATTCACAAATCGTCGAGAAGAACAAAAAAAAATCTATGTAATTTTTACAGAATGTGGGACTGTAAAATCTATTAAATAAGCCTTTCAAACCCCTCAATGTCGGCGTTTTCAGAGGGCTTCGCTCACGCCGTATTTTTTTGTCAATTTCTTTTCTAGAACAATGGATACCTCTATGTTCTGTCTGATATTTGCCAGTTTGGTATTGGCAGCAACAGCAGATAAGGGTACCACACCTAACATACAAGACATTTTTATTGGTCGATGCATACAATATTCAAATACTGTGAGGCCTGTTAATGGTAGCTGGTTAATTGATGAAGCCTGGAGCAAATCGTAAGTAGAGACAACTTTTTTTTCATTCTATTTCCAGCTTCATCGCATAGAAAGAAAAATACTGTACAAAATAAGTATTTTCATCTATTTATTTTATTATTTATAATTATTAATTTTACGTTTTAGAATAAACTAGTAGAATTAGAACTACACTTTTTTTTTTTTTAATAATATAAGAACCAGTAAAATTTTGGCCAGGCTCAGTGTTCTTATTTTTTGGCCGATTTCAGGCTCAAAATGTTCTTAATTTGTTCTTATTTTACACACCTTTCAAACATAGAAAATTATTATTGTACAGCAAAAATGGGCCCTGAAAAAAATGCCCTGTAAAATTTGCCCCAGAAAAAAGGCCTGGTAAAAATGGCCCCAAATGACAGTACACCTGATTATAGGGGGTATTACATAGTCACACCCACATTACTGCACATAAGGTACAGATATGATTTTTTGGTTTTTCAAAAACCTCATTTGATATTTTTACCTTAGCCTCAATTTGTTCTTATTTTGTTCTTAATTTTTAAGCAATTTTTAGCCTCAGTGTTCTTATAAAATGTGTTCTTATAAAAAAGTGTAATTTATAGCAACATTTGCAATCCAATACAATTCATTTATAATATTAAATCAGCACAAATGTAATTAAAACAATAATAGTTTTATATGTTGTAGAAACGGTTAGGGGCAGTGGGAACGGTATGGTTTCCCAACCTCGAGGTCGGGGTTTCAGTCCCTCGCTGTATTTTACATTTCGCTTGCGTCCTTAAGCAAAGCACTTTGCTTCTCCTGTAATCACCTGTCTTGTCGGGCTCGTAGGTAGACCATACAAGCCTGTATGGTGCATGTTATGCCCACCCAATTTCATCAGGCCATCACTGCATGGGTTCTCTCCATCCAGGCTACCTGGCAGGGTTGTCCTCTCCCGCGATATTTGGGCCTACCAGCAGCAACACTTAAAACAATAAGACCCAATGACCAGGAAAAAAAAGAAGCGATTTGTATCTACAAAGAAGAGGCGCTGTATAGATGATAAATAAATAAAATAATAATAATAGAATGTTCCCAATATTGTTTCATGATGCAGTGTTAATGACCAAATATTCCATTTTTATTTAAAAAATTGAGCTTTCTATTGAATGAATGTAGCATTAATAGAGCAACGACTTAGAAGTAATGGTGCATGTTATGGTATATAGGCCTATTAAAGAATCCTACAATGAAAGTACACGAAAAACAAAGGAAACGAAATCCCCATGGTTTCAAGATTGGTTTATATGAAGTACTGTAACACATTCAGTAGGGCTATACCGACGTTTACTCTATGGATTCAGGGGAGAAAATTCTGGTTTATTGCTCAAAAAGGTGATATGAAGTTGAATGAAATGTTCTTACTTTGAGACTGCTGTAACTGTTATACAATGATTATAAAAAATTAAGTGTCCCCTTAATAGGGGTTATTTGACCATTTGGCAAACTCATGAAGTGTCCCCGTCCCTTGTGGTTGGCCGTAGTGTTAAAAGATATATTGCCCCTCGTTTCACGGAAAGTTGGTATGATTCTGGCAACTTCCTGCGCCGCGGTTTCCGCAGTTTCCCTAGATCAAACTTTCTAGTTACCCAAATAGGACCAATTAAGTTGTAGGCTTATTTTAAGCTTGGTTTCCATACAATGCTATACGATCTCACCAGCAGCTTTCGGTGATGCTGATTGGTCGGTCGCATCGAGGAGTCTTCCCGGTTGCGTCGGGGACTGCTACGCAGAGTACAACGATTGCTCTGAAAATCGCTTAGCGATTTTATGGAAACCAGCCTTTACTCTATGTTATCACCATTTATTATCGTATAGTTAGTGGCAACTGATTTCTAAAAGTTTCTTTCACATGTATTACACAGACTGGATTGCAACAACTTATACACACAGTTTGAGACAGCGTTCGCAAACAAAGATCCTTGTGCCATTGAGGATAATGCGTTTGAGCCATTTGTATTATCTGTCAGTCAAGTTCTACCAGCCAATCAGGTAGGCATTAGGCATAAAAAATGTGGAGATCAAAGTCTTCACTAATGTAATATTCTACGCCTAATTCCTCAAAGTGCTTAAAGACCCTACCGTTGCTCCCCATGAAATTCAGATCATCAAATTGGTAAACACATTGCTAACATCCGGGTTAAGGTATCCAATTTATTATTTTCTGTTAGGCTATTATAATGAGAACATTAAAAGAGCTAAACAGTCCAATCTACGTGACAGTTTAAAGTTTACAGGCGAGCGATCTTTTTAACTCATACACATGCACAATAAGTACATTAAGCCACTCTGACGTATAGGCCCAATCGAATGCTTTTCACTTACTTTCATCAAAAGTGAACATTTTAATGTAATTATAAAGGTGAATGAAAGGATACACAGAATGGTGTTAGGCCTACTCACAAAGTAGCCTGTTGGTTATCACATGACGGCGTCATTATTTTTCGCATTCATCCTTCAGTTAAAATGTAAATATCCTTACCTTTCCATCATTGGTTCTCAGTTATGCAGCAGGTTGCCATATTTACATCTATACGCGCACGCGCTCAGGTAAATCTCAGCCCGAGATTCGAGTCACTTATTTTGAGAAATTCTTTACTATACTGTATGTTCATTTACTGTCTCTTATACACATCTAGATGTGTATAAGAGACAGCATAACATACAATAATAAAATTAAGTGGTTCCGATTCGAGTAGTTAATTGATGAGAATAAAAATGTATAAATAAAACAATTTTATTTTTGTAATCTTGAATCTATTTGTTTATATTCTACCCTTAACCCAATGGAATTATTTTTGACTTCGGATAAATTTGTCGTACTGAATCTTATTCATTTATATATCTATATGTATAAGTTTTTTTTCTTTGTTATTCTTTATATTAATACAGAAAATCTCCTTTCCTCAATTGTTGTACACTTGATACAAATCCAATAGGCCTACCAATTTTCTTTTTAATATATCGATCCGTCCGTCCTTTCATCCAAAAATAACGCATACCAACCACTCAAATATTCCTAATCAATCAATCAATCAATCAATCAATCAATCATTTTATTAATTATTATTCAATTGATCGATCAATCAATCAATCAATCAATTAACCAACCAATCAAGCAATCAATCAGTCAATCAAACAACGAATCAATTAATCAATCAATCAACCACCTGATCAATCAATCGACCGACCGACCGACCTGACCGACCGACCGACCGATCAATAAATCACTATTTCAACCAATTAAATCAGTCGATCAACTTTAATGCGCCCTCTTCACCTATATTATGGAATAACGTTTTTGTATCACACAGTTTGCTAGTCGTGCGAATGGTGAAATCGCCGTTCTCTTGTCAGGATCTAATGCCGATGGCGCTTATCGCAACACAAGGTATGTACTCGCAACAAATTTCCCTAACCCTGTCAAATGATATACAAATAAGCCTATCGTGTGACGGTCGTACTACCGTCGGCCGATAAATCAATCTCCGCTTTCTGTGAGGCGCTAGTTGACGTGACAACGTCTGCAGATTGTCGCTGGTAGTCCGCCCGCTAAGCGGATCGCGTCGCGTACCTCGTCACGTTGAGTTCTTTTTGCATTGTGTGCATGGTGTTAGTAACGATATTTACGTTTATGACATACATAGGCCTATCACTTTTTTGTAGCCGACGTTACCTGAACATTTGAATTTAATATGTGTCAGTGTGTCAGTGTTATTTGTCGCTTGATGTCTTAGCGCTAGTGCCCTTAACCTGTCTTTGATATATGAAGTTCTGATTTTGAGATACTGACACGTTTTCCTTTGTCGGGTTTGTTTCTTTAGTACCTTTGCAAGAATTGAGTTACCAAATCTAAACCCGGAAACAATCAGTAATGTCCGTATCATTGTTTCACATGACATTGGGACAACAAGTCCAAAGTAAGTACTTAGATAAACTTTCTTTATGTATCTTATTTTTACTATTTATTCGCTATGCTTAGGCCTATTACATATTTTACATTTTTGCGTAGATACCGTAATTCAAGTCACAGTGACACAGTGTTGGCTTTACATCGAACTAAACAATAAGCATCGGGCCTATAAAAATGATTACTTTGACAATGAATGCAATAGGAATGAGGATGATAAGAAGGAAACCGAGGCTGATATGTTTTTTTTTTTTCAAGTCATCATCATCGTCATCAGTATCATAGTAGAACATTTATTGCTGCATTCAATATAACATTTAATCAATTTACATTGTATAAAAACAAAATACCATTTCAAAACCCAAAAGCAAAACACTGACAATTAGGAAAAAAAATAACAGAGGATAACACTTAAGCTGGTAGGCTTGTTACGTTTCAGAAGGGGTCCAGCAGAATCTATAGATACAGAAATATAAATGATATAATTAAGCATTAAACAAAATGTAAGAATATAACATTTTTTTTTAATGTACAAAATTTAAATATACACAATTTTAAGGTTTATAAAAATACTAAAGAGCATCCCCATACTTATCATCACCATTGAGAAATTGGTTAGCGCAGCAGTGGGTCGGCTCTCAACCTTGAGTTTTTGAATCTCTCACGTACATTTTACAGTACTTGTGTCCTTAAGCAACACACTTTATTTGTTTGTCTCTCTCCACTCAGGAGTATCACTATAAATAATAACTCCCTGGAAACATTGATACCTGGTGGAATGGTACAGCAATCAATGAATGCATGCATGCACATTAATTGCAGCACGACTTAAGAGTGGAGAATTGTCTACTCTGCGCCTATAGATGGATTCAAAATGAGGGATAATAATTTGCAGGAGAGTTGAGACATTTTTTGATTTTATAAAGCGCTATATAAACACTCAAGATTAGGTATATTATTTGTAATGATCATCATTAAAAGCTTCGTTATGTATTGCTTTTACAATTTAAAGGCATGAGACCTGCAATGATGGTTCGTTGCTTACTCTGAAGGCAGACTTGGACAAGCGTGAAATTAAATACACGTGTGAAGAGGATGAATAGTAAGTGATAGCGATGTGCATATATAGAGACACACATGCTTAAAGAAGAATGATGCAATTTTACGAAAGCCTATTCGTGCCACTTAAGTATATAAAATTATCAAAATGTAATCCGAAATAAAGGATTAGTAATCCGTTATTTCGAATTAGTAACTCGTTATTTCGGATTAATAATCCGAAATTTCGAATTAGTAATTCGTTATTTCGAATTAGTAATCCGTTATTTCGAAT